AGCCATCCAAGTTTCCAACAAAGAGTAATGGATTAGCGTGTCACTGATCGGTTAAAGAGCAGGAACCCACTGCCCTTTCCACCTGCACTCCTCGTTATGTTACGAGTCAACAGCCTCTGAGTGTCAGAAATGTCTCTAAATATATGAACATAAGCCAATATATACCCCTTTTTAAAAAATAAATAAAAAAGAAACAAATAACAGTAACAAGCAAGAAATTTACAAACCAGCACGTCTCCATTCAAATGGTGTGGATCTCCTCCTACATTTACCAACTTTGACCATCACATGTTGCTTGCATGGTGGGGAGCATGACTTTACTACTATTTTTCTCTCTCCTCCATTCATAACGAACCAGGAAATTAGAGAGAGAAAGAGCGGAGAGAATCTTGTTGACTATTAACTTATAAGAGAAGCAAGCATGGGCTAATGGGGGCCCATGTTGGGGTACGAGTTGCCTCCGCGTTCTCACAATTATCAAACAACTAAAACGAAGGGGAAGATCTCGGAAGAAGGAAGAAAAAGGAGAGCAATAATTAGGTTCTCTACCAAATTCTTTACCTATCTCCAACATACATGCATACAAGTCAAAAGCCAACCGACTAGTTCTAAGACTTTTTTTGTTGGACTTCTCATTGTCAAATCATGTGCGCGCCTGCACCTTGATGTTTTCTCGAATGCTTTAGTTTATTTCAGTAATATTGAAGTTTCATTTGCAATATATGTCATGATCTATTATTCTATTAGATTTAAGACTTATATTAGAAGTTACTTTTATGTCAATGTTGCTAATTAGACCGCCTTGAGCCAGGTTTTCATGAGGATTACATTCAAAATGAAATTGAATAAACTTTGATGTAAAGATAATTACGTATAAAATGTGGTAAAAAATTGGATATTTTATGAAGTCGGGATATCCATCACAAGCACTGGGAGATTAATTATTATTTACAGATATTGTTACTAAGATCTGACTCATTTATAAAAGCAGATATCTGAATTCTTCAGACGAAGGTCATGTTCACATCATTTCACAAATTTCATTACAAAAGGAAAAAATAAAGTAAAAAAAAAGGAACAGCTTTCAAAAGATTAAGTACTTACATTTTCCCTTGAAAAACGATTAAGTACCAATCTCTTTACTACAATTCGCGATGGATACACTCTAATAGGTCAATTTCTTGGAAAAGTATCAAGTACAACCGGATCTATGACATTAAACGTGCACCCAGATGATGCTAACCATCGGATCATTAGATTTCAAGATCCATCTTCAAATCTGACATACGACATTCCGTAAATACACGTTTCATGCCCTGGGCCGTCCCTCCCCCTCACCGAATACTTTCTCCAATTACTTTCATATATATATACATCAATCATGCATCACCCATACATCACCCACCTTTTTCCCAAATCCTGAAACATCCCCCAATCAGTTCACTTGTTTAGATTCCAAACCTCTCGCTTTCAGCTTTTTAGTACAGCCACCTCACTTTCCACACCCCCAATCAACTCACACCTTTCCATAATCTCTTTATTAAAAAAAAATAACAAAAAAAAAGTAACTAGCCCCGGGGGGTCCCTTTTTACTTCCACAAAACAAAAAACCAGTCGCATCCCGCAACCTCACTAACCTCAATTAACTAATTAACTCGATCCCTCGCCGCTGATAATTAACAATTAACACCCCTTATATATCTTCTCCCAGATCCTCTCTCTCTCTCTACTCTCTCTCTACGTCTCTCCCTCCTCCCTCTCCCTCTCTCCTACATGAAATAATGTCCGCCACCGTCACGCCCTCACTACTCCTACACAAGCTTCCCGATATCCTGGCGATCTCTGATCCTGCTGGGGCCATCCTAAAACGCACGCCGTCTACTCCTCTGCTACTACATCTTCGTCATCAAGTGCTGGCCTACCACTGGGCCCTCGCCCGCGCCCCCGACCTCCTCCTCCTCCGCCTCACGCTCCTCCCCCGCCGCCGCAGCGCAGCCGCCTCGCCCCCCTACCCCCTCCTCCCCCTCCCCCGCCTCCGGCCCCCTGCGCTGCCGCCTCGACATCCCCACCATCAACTCCATCCCCACCAGCCCGCCTTCTCCTCCGAAACGAAGCCTTCGCACCGTGCCGAATTGCTCCGTCTGCATCTCCGAGCTTCCGCGACCAAGCAGCTCCTTCCGCGTCCTCCGTCTGCGCCCCACGCCTTCCAACATCGACTGCAGTCGACGACCTGGCTTCCCCCCAGATTCAACGCCGCAACTGCCCCCCTCTTGCCGCGCTGACCATCAGCCTGCCTGCCGATGCCACCGTTCGGACGCCTCCCCCGACCGCCGCGAAGCCGGATTCAGTCCAGCCGAGTGTTCCGACGGGCGCGAGAACCAGATGGAGGGCTGAGCTACGCCCGGGCAGCCACCAGCCCGGAAGGAGCGAGACACTGCAAGAAAAATGAAGAGCCATGGGGCGATGAGTGTATCGACTGATGAGAGGGGGAGAGGCGACGACGAGGTTCGCCGTCCACCCGCATACGCGAGGCCGTCGTTTGCCGATGAGCTCGTCGACGATGACCGGCAGCTGTATTGTCGTGCAGGAGCGTTTTTGCCGGCTGAGGCTCGGAGTGGCGAAGGGAGACGGCGCAGGCGGAGCGGGAGGATACGGAGGTCGTTGTTTTCGTTCGGTCGGAGCTCCAGAAGTACTGCTTCTGTTCTTCCTCTATGACTTAATGGAGATAATAATTAAAGAGACAGTGAGTGTACATTTTGGATTTGGGATTGAGATTGGTTTTTAGAGAGGGGTTTTTTTTTGTTGTTTTTTTTTTAAATTTGTAAGTCATTAGTTGAGTGTTTTCTTCGGATTGAGCTTGATTAAGAGATTGTTGCCGGCTCCGTTTCTTCTACTTTCTGGAGGAAAATGTTTTTTATTTCTTTGTTTTGCTTTTATTTTTCTTAAGATTTTAACTTCCATATGTTATATTCATTGGTGATTATAGAGTTTAGGGATATAATAGGGAGCAAGTATTGCAAAGTCAAATTGATTATGACCGTTTTTGTCTGAGAAAACAATGGGAGCTGGTATTGTTGATAACGATTGGGATAGAAAATTAAATCGAGATTGACTGTTAATTTTCAGAGTTGCTTCGCTTGTTACTTGCTGTGTATTATGCTGTAGAAGATTACAACAGAACCCCATATGACATTACTTTTTCCTAGAGGTTCAAAAGCTACTTTTCGTCTAAAGAGTGAATACTAATTTCTATTTTTGTCTTAATTAGCGGATACTAGATTATCATTATCCTTTCTCTACGCCATTGTGGAGCAATCATGCGCAACTTATTTAGAGTTAATGGATCTTAAATAGAGATTACGAATCAATTCTAACCTAAAAGCTTAAGCTGTTAGTTATTAGTCCCAACGACTACTTAAATTCATTCCTCTTTCCTCTTTCTTATCCTATTTAACGTGAGACTATACTCACGTATTAATATTACAACATATGTATCATGTGTGCTTTCAAGAGTCTGCTGCACAGAACTGAACTAGTAGACCAATCAATCATCCAATCTAGTGTAATTGACTCTTAAACCAAAAGTAAAGGAGTGTGATTAGTGTCTTATCCAATAAGAAAATTAAAACATAAACAATAAAAAAGGGCTCATACTGTGTTTCATGTTTCTGAAAACATTTGTGGAATAAAATACCTCTTCCCTTGGAGAAGCAAGTGGTCTCAATCATACTAGTTCGTAGCTACGTGAAGTTAACACTATAATTGATGCGAATCCATTTAAGTTTTCATATGATTCGTCAACTTAATTACCAAAACTCGCGTCTCCTAACATCGTACAGATAGATGGCTTTGTGGGGGTAGTATTAATTAGGTAATCCACAATTACTCACTAACTTTTGGGTGTTTTAAACCGCTCATCAAAAATTAGCAAGAGTAGGCACAATCCTTAAACCAATTCAGCTTGCCAAACACGAGGTGGACTTTCTTTTCGTTGACAAAAACGGACAAAGTGATTGCTAACATCATGGACATAAACAAACACAGGTGAGAGGCTAACATGCCTTTATTTGATAAAATTTGTTTGGGCTCCTCAATTAAGACGACGGTAGATATGATGAATCTTTAAACGTCCACAATAGATATCTACGGCTCTGTTTTGGCATTTCATCGTGACGGAGGAAAGTAAGGGAAAATATGGGAGATAAAGAGATGGGAAGGTAATAGAATTCCCTTCTCCTCATTCCACTCCGTTTAGGGAGGGAATAAACTTCTATTGATCAGAGGAGAATTTAGGGGAATTATTTCCCTATTAAAAGCTTTCCTAACGGGATAAATGAATTCTCCTACCTTCACTTCTCCCCTATTCTCCTCTAGCCGCCAAACAAATCCTAGAAATGGGAACATTAAGGCACTGCTCATTCTAAAGTACCACTTTGACACGAGATGATCTCAACAAACATAAAGTGGCAGACCCTAGGGACTGCCATTATAATGAGTTGATAGAAAACTTTTTTTTTTTTTTTTTTTTTCCCCTTTTTGCTGGAGAATTTAGGGGAATTATTTCCCTATTAAAAGCTTTCCTAACGGGATAAATGAATTCTCCTACCTTCACTTCTCCCCTATTCTCCTCTAGCCGCCAAACAAATCCTAGAAATGGGAACATTAAGGCACTGCTCATTCTAAAGTACCACTTTGACACGAGATGATCTCAACAAACATAAAGTGGCAGACCCTAGGGACTGCCATTATAATGAGTTGATAGAAAACTTTTTTTTTTTTTTTTGTCTTCCCCTTTTTGCTGTTGAACGTTTTTTTCGGTGAATAAATCACATTTATGTCCTTGTTTCGAGTCTCTAATTTCCTTATTCCCTAAAAGTATGGATACTCCACCTAGAACAAAGCCTAAACAATTTCGTTGGCTAATATTGATAAAAAGACCTATATTGGTTGAAATAATGTTAACTGTAGTATAGATCTCATACTTGATGCTACTGCTATAATAAATAAGAACACGAGTCCTAATTGTCAGCATTAATCATCTACATTTATTGAGAGTATCTTGCTCTAAATGATCCACCTGTATAAACTTGGACAACATCTTTTTCTAAATGATCCACCTGTGTAAACTTGGACAGCATCTTGTTCTAAATGACCCACCTGTATAAAATCTTCACGTACCATATATATTTGGACCAAAGGGTTCCCCATATGCAGTCCAAGAGTGAAGGCATGTTGATTCTTCATTTCTAAACTAATCTCTGACCGCTGCAAGCAAAGATAGAGTACGATCAGCATCAGTATGTGGGTGAATTTGCCTTGAATGCTCTCATAATTAGGACACCCCAGAGGGAAATAGCCAAATACTAGACAACAAGATTTGCATGCTTATGACCTGGGAAAAAAGAATCTAAGGGGGGCACTGCATAGAAATTCACGTGGGGATCGGGAGATAGAAGATCTTGACATGCGTCTATAGCACATGACACATACGTAGTAACAAAAATTCAAAATTGGATGGCTACTATCAACTTTAAGTCGGATGACATGTCTCAAATCCTTCTACCTCTCCGTAGGGTAAAGGATCCTCTATAGAAATTTTCATTTTTCATGACCCCACGTTCCCCTCATTCCCTCTTTGAAAGAATATTGCCAATGGTAATACTAATTTTATACTACTTTCATCCTATAAAACATAAAAATCTTTTTAGACATAGGAACACATGGAACCTGATTGCAATTCATGACAAAGAACTTGCATCCTGTAGTATACAAAATAGAGGTTTGTAATATTGTTAGCATTACCCGTCTTAATGACACTAGGAAGTCCTACCAAATAAATACTCAATCTCTTCATTAAATTAAGGTTTGCATGAGGTAAGCCTTAAGTTTGAATCTCTTCATCAACTTTTTTTTGTGGAATAAATGGCCTATTGTTTAGTTGAGAATTATGATAACTTCTCTTCCGTAAGAACCAACTTGCAAGCTTTGCAAAATAGAACACGAGTATGGTCCCCGTTTGAAGGAAATGGTGTCCTTGTCTTGTGTGTGTCTATGTTGCTTTGCTCCATAATTGATTTAGAAACATCAATTAAAGTAGTGTGAAGAATCTATGGACATACAAATACCAATGCTTCATTCAATACGTTAAAAGGAAAGAGCTCATATCTGTGCAGAATCCTAGGCAAAAGGAAAGAAGGGCCTAGGAATCTAATATCTAATAGTAATTCACAGTTTAATGAGTTGATGGCACAAGACAATTGAGGGTAACTGATATCATATAGATGAACAGAAGCCAGTTACAGTTCATATAAACTATTTGGATTCCTTTTTCTAAAAGCATTATTAATGTACAGACAGATGAATAATGGTGCTGAAGTTGACTTGTTAAGTTCCTATCATCGACAATCTTATAGGATTTGTCTGATTAGAATTTGGTTAAATTTGATTATTCAAGAAGTAGATATATTATGGTTGGAATTATTAGTTCTTTTAAGTAAAATGCAAGATTCCTAGTTAAGGTGGAATGGGTGGTGGCCTGTAACTTATAACTGATCTAAAGCCTGTCAAAGACTACAGTGTAGAAGGGACAGATCCAAGAGCCACTTTATTGATAAATCATAAAACTGACATCCAATGCTTTTGTTAGCTGATTTTCAAATAACAAATATGGGTAAAGATAACTTTAACTATCACTTTTGCTTTAATAAAATAAAACTAACGAAAAAGATATGAAGTCGGGTTCTTTTCACTGTCTGCTTTCTTCAAAAAAAAAAAACAATAAGCATTCTGTTTTGCAATGCGAACAAAGAGAATGATACAAGAATCAGTACATTGTCTTACATTAGCTAAACTAATCAGTTAAAGTTACATATGAAGATAAGCTGTGCTTTAGTGGATATATATTACAAACATGGATGAAACTAATAATAGACATTATTAGGCGGCAGTGTAGATCGAAAAACATAATATAGAATATTAAAGTTAATTACATCTAACATGTCTATATGTGACACCCCAACTTTCTTCAGCCCGGCATATCAAAATGGTAAGGGAGAAAACTTAAAGATAATGGAGAACTTCATGTAAATGAGCAATTCACAAAGACCATGGGATTTAAACCCCTGATAAGTCCTTACATTAAGAGCTTCCTGTCATTGCTTTACAGTGAATAGAATAAGTAGAGGGGGCAAGTTGCAATATTATATTATTAATATACTTGTCTATTTAAAAAAAATTTAAATGACAAGTTGCTATGACTTCTAATTATCATAACAGAAGCTAGCAAATAAAATATTACTCAGAATAAATTATAACCCTCCAACTTTCTAAGTCAACTGTGGTTCACCTTTTTTTTAACAACAGCCTTCACAACACTAATAGACTCAAAGCAAGTATTAGGAAGCATTAATTAGCTTCCATCAGAGGGCTTAATCTGCCATATCCTAAAATGTAAAATCATCATTAAAAAATGATTCAGATCCGCTTTGCTTCAAAAATATATAAATTAGAATACTAGGAACAGCTAAGTATCTGTAGCTAATGTTAGCTGGAAGCATAGGAAAGATATAAAGCTGGGACTAGAGAGCTCAAGACACAAGATATTCATAGTTCATTTAACCAATGCAAAGAAGTGATGCATCCTAGACTCACGGTTCAATTCATCAACCAGGCTCTTGAAAACTTCTACTGAAAAAGAGTAGTAAAGTAGTAGTTTACAAAGTAACTTGTGATATAAGATTTACCAGCAAGAAGCATCACATGGAAACTGTAGTCTTTTTCTCTCTAGAGTATTATAATCACATCAATCTCCAAAGCAAACTCTATTGTTTTAGTTTTTCCACATATTAGGTTTCAGTGCCAGGCAAAAGACCATCTCCACCTGTCAATTTCGTTGGCAATCATAGAATTTTTTAATCAAATACATAAACACATACCTTATTTGAAATGAGTCCCTCCATTCCGCGTTGTACCATTGTCTTTATCTGTAAAATTAGGTCCAGAATTATATATTTAATTATGCTTAGCCTATTACAATGGAAAGTAAGCTTGACATCAGCAAAAGCATAAAACTAGTATAACAAAGTGATATGTATATCAGATGCGCCGACCAGCAAGTGTTATTTGTCATATGCAGTAGTGGTGGCATGGGCAGATTCATGTGCAACTAATATTTCATAAACTATATTGCATTAAGTATAAAAGATTGTTAATTAGGACATCTGAATTATGAGTAGCAGAGAGTGAAAAACAAAAAAAGGTAACTAGATTGAGATGTATGCAACAAGAAGGACGAGCAAGTGGCAGAACAACATTATAGCTACGGGCTAACAGTGTTCCATCACAATTGCCTTTCACAGTAGTTGATCTGTCACCATAGTTTACCATATAAAGGACTTGACAGACATCCAACAAGCTGTGCTAGTATCTTATATGGGACTAAAGAGATGGATGCAATGGAATAGCTAAGTCATTAATGTTCTTCAAATTTTACCAGAGGGTCCTATTCATACCTTTTAATTCAGAAGTACTTCACACTTGAATTTGGGTATCATAAAATTGAATCCATGCTACCAGGTAATTTATGATGATTCCATTTCAATCCCTTGTGATGTTGATAAGTTGGACGTGTTTGGAACCTCAATCCATGCTATTAAGTATTGTGATTATATGCACTAGCTTTGAGAAAAATCCTCAAATTCACATTTTTTCCAACCGAATGTCCAATTCAATAGAGACCCTTGATAATTACAACTGTAAATTCGCAACGGCAACAACTAATCTCCCTTCAAATCCTGTGCTTGGAAATCGTTGATTTTCAATTATAGGGTAACCAAACTGATGAAGTACTTTAGGTATCCAAAAGAAGGAAAGGAAAAATATGAGTTTTGCCATGTTGCTTACCTTGACATTGACAGTGTATGAATTAATAACAGATGAATAGCTTTCACTTTGATAACCTTGTGGTGATCGCAGGGCTTTTAAGACATTCGGATAGCTTGTGGGCTTCACTTAGTTCATCACCAGCATTAGGCCTGTGGATTTTTCATGGCGCTGTTACTATTTGTTGCAACTCTCTTGCAGAAGCATAGAGGCTTTGCCTCATGTTAAACTACATTTTTGAAGGAAAAAGAAAGACTACTACATTTGAATGATAGTGAGTTTTGGAATAAACTCATATATGCATACATTCTTCAGCATCTTTGTCGTATCGTGCAATCCTTTTTCCTTTTTCCTTTTTTCTGGTATGACTACATTGCCTAACAAGGTACATATCTGAATACACGATTAACTCATAGCAGTGTGGCCCATTGATTCAGAAAATTGTATTAGTCCTTTTCGTCTTCTATACTTTCCTCTTATCTCCTCATATTCTATGTACTTACCCCTTTCCCCCTTCCACATTATGCATATACTTCTGTATTTATTTTCTGTAAATAATTTGCTTGTACTGATAAACAAAAAATTAGACATATAAAAATCAAATATATTTTCTGAAATATCATCGTTCAATAAACAAGGCCTGGGCCTCATTAAAGTAAGGATATTATTCAGAGTTTACACTCGAGGACGAAAACAAGCTTGGCGCAGGTTGTGCAGAGGACTCAGTACAGTAATAAGAATTGCAGAACAGTGAACACATCACTAGGTTGCAGTTTTGGTTAATGATGACGTGTAGCTGGCTTAGGTTATAGAACTAAGCACGAAGATCGACTCTGTAATTAGCGAGTAATTAAGAGAGACTATATGAGTTGTGAACTTGAAGCTCAAGCAATGAAACAGTAATTGCTCCCCCATGCCCTCACAAACTCACGTGAACCCAGAAGCATACTCTCTTCTCTCTCTTCTCACTCCTCCTCTCTCTCCCTCTCTGGTTCAAATATCAACCCGCGCCACCCCTCCTCTCCCACCCTCCTCTTCCCCCTCTCCTCATCCTCATCTCTCCTCACCACATTGCCTACTAACCAGCCGAGTGCCGTCATCCTCCACCAAGCGAGCTCCACGTCTTGATCCGCCCGCCGCTCCCTTCAACTTCCTCAACCACGTCCTCTCGCCCCAAGCTCCTCCTGTCCTTCTCCGCCTCGCATACCTGCCTCTTCCTTCATCCTGTCGTCCAACGCGGCAGGCAGCCCCCAACGCAGCCAACCGCGCCGTCGAAATCGTAATCACACCGACCACGACGACAGTCATCCCCGACGCCACCACCATCACCTCCGCTTCCTCTCTCCCCTTCTTGACCGAGCAACCCCGCCGGATCCCCGCACAGCCCCGTCGGAACCCATCGAGACACCCCGACGACCCCGGCAACCTCCTCCCACCTTTTGCAAGACCGGATAGCAAGAGAAGACTCCGAACAGCGAGGAACAAGCCCGAACAGCGACCGAACAGCGAGCAGATTTTTGCAGTTTTGTGCCAACTTCGCACGCACTTTCCGATCACCTTCGATCTCCATTTCCGCTGATTTCTTCTCTGATGAGTAGCCCTACATGTTGTCTATCACCTCTAATTTATATCACGTTCTAACTCATTCTCTATCTCTCTCGGTAACGTCCGAAACATCGCTCGACGGCAGCAGCGAGCAGAAAACAGCAACGTTGTGCCGACTTCGCACGCGTTTTCCGGCCACCTCCGGTCTCCGTTTTCGTCACCGTCTTCACCGGTGTGTAGCCCTTTATACTATCTATCACACGGTATCTCCCTCTCACTTAGGCTCATTTTTAACTCTCGTTATATCGCTTTGAATATCGCTAATCGCTACTAACACCTTCCTTTTTGTATTCTATCACACAATTAACTTTCCGACATGCCACGGAACTCGTTGTGACCCGTACAGACACCCGATGACCCCCACTACCCTCTACGACATCCTCGACAATATTCCCAAGGCAAGATTCCCAACCTTGTTTGTTATTTATTTTAATTTTTAGATTATCATAAATTATTATGTGCAAGATCCTCGTTCCGTTATTTTATTTCGTATAATTTTTAGAGCTGTTAATAATTATCTACGTGGGTTTGATGAATAGTATTAAATGAATCGTAACTACGTGATAAATAGTATTTTTTGAATAATTATAATATTTTTAGAATTTATTTTGTGAAAGGAAATCATTTTAGAATGATAAATATTTTTAAAAGAATTTATTTTGGGAAAATAGACTATTTTGAATTAATGAGAATTTATCTTGTAAAAAGATTATTTTGAATTTATGAATTTATTATTTTAAGAGATTATTTTGAATTTATGAATTTATTATTTTAAGAGATTATTTTTAGAATAATTATGGTGAGAGATAATTTGAAAGGAATTTATTTTGTAAAAGAATTATCTATTTTGAATTAATTTAGTTTATGAACGTGTGATGGATGGTTGTTAACCACGATATTTTATGTGCAAAACAATCGTCGATTCCATGATTCTTATTTTAATTACGTGGTATGCTATGACACTGTTGTACATGATTGGTTGTTTCATTTATTATTGCTTGTTGTGTTTGAGAACCCTTAATAGTTCATGACTTAGTGGCATTGTGCGTTATGAACAAGACTTAGTGACATGTGTGTGTGCGTTAATTGAATTTAGAGTTGGGATGAGGAAGTCTTGGTTCATGTGATCAGATGTGGCTGTTGATGTATCTTCCAGGCTCGCATCAGTGAATTCGTGTAGTCACTGGGGTTGGTTTGTTAGGCTAAAGTGAATTCGTGTAGTCACTTTAGTCAGTAAAAATCGTGTAGTCACCCGAGTCCTGCTTGAGTTCGGGCCAGACAGGAATCAGATTACGTGTAGTCCTCTGACCAATTCGTGTAGAGGTATTGGATGCACGTAGGAGATTTATGAACAGTCAGTTATCTGATAATATGAGCGTTGACTCTGTGTGAGATGTGAACCAGTGACCTGTTATAGGATGACTAGTTACATGACTTCGTTTCTTGGCTAAGTATGAATTCTTGTGAGATGTAGGCCAGTTGTATTTCTTTCATACATAGATCAAGGTTAATATTTAATTATCTACAATTTAAGATATATATGGTATATACATGAGAGTTTTCTTGTTTGAATTATTTCGCTCGACATACTACGTCTCTTGTTGTAGATTTTTAAGTATTAATTTTATCTAGTTGTATGACCTTGTTACTTGGATGATTATTCTGATCGCTAGCTGCATGATCTTGTTACTTAGTTGATTTTCTTGGATTCTTTTGATTATTATATTCTAGTGATAGATTGCATTTAGATTATTAGTGTTCCAGTAGCATGCTTCTATTATTATTACCTGTTTTTGCCTTGGTCGTCGATCGTTTCTATTTCTCTCTGTGGGATCTTGTCGTGTGCCATGCATGCTGACATACATCTGTTTTCTCTGATGTACGTCAGACTTAGAGGAAGGACAGGTCCAGCTTAGAGATGTGTCAGAGCTAGGATATTCTCAGCAAGGGTGTCTTGCAGACAGAACAGAAGAAACCGAAGCTTATTTATTGATCCTATTTGCTTTTGTAGTATTTTCTTTCTTTTTCGTTGAACGATGTATTTTATATTTCTTTAGTTTTTAGTTCAATTTTGTATAAGGACATGTTGATCCGAATATTATGTCTGGGATGATATTTACTTGTGGGATGATATTCACTTATGATATGTCTCTTTTCCATTCTGAGTTGTTCATTATATTCTTGATATGTGTGATCGGGGACCTATAACTTCACATTTTAAATTGCTTGACGCTTAGCGTATTAGATTGAGTAGAAATGACCTAGTATCTATTTCTCCTCAGTCTAATACGTCGTGGGCTTGTTCACGTTCCGATTCCCTGATATTTGAGAAGCAGGGTGTGACATAGATTGTGTGTGCCTAATGGAGATAACAGGGGAGAGTTACCAGAGGAGGCGCACAATTATGCTTTCAATTCCTCCAAGGGCACAAAGATGTACCGAGACTTAAGAGCATTTCTGGTGGCCAGGAATGAAAATGGAGATAGCCTGGTTTGTGTCAAAATGTCTAATATGTCAGCAGGTGAAGGCTAGGCATTAGAGAACCGCCGGATTATATAGGCGTTAAAAATTACCTATAAGTTTTCGAACACAGATCGAGACGAAGAAAAGACGATTAACATCGATATCCAAGTCAAAGAGGATCATCTGACGCCAAAACGAAACGATGAAACGACGAAACAACAACGAGATTTAGAATGCATGATTTGAGAAGAAAATTGATGCATGAATATGAAGAACTAAAATTTCGACCATGATGCAATTCGAATCCAAAATGAGCTCAAAAGACAAGTTATAGGTCTCTTTGTCAGCTTTCCAACACAACTTGAATCACCTCATTCCGAGGTCGGATGAAAAAATTAAAGCCAAAATACCGAAGGCAGTACAAATTGTCTCAGAGTTCGAGATAATGTTTTGTGTCTCGGAATCTGAGACACAATAAGGTGTCTCGCACATGTGCGAGACACCCCGACCTATCTCGCACAGAATGAAGCCCCGAGACGCGTTTTCAACAGTGTTTAATTAGTTTTGACAGTTCCAGTGGCCTCCTAACTGCTTTGGGAATATCCTAAACGTGGGAAAATCATTTCTAACTGAAGATAAGACCAAATCACGAGATCTTATCTACAAGCATGGTGTTCAAGTCCTATAAATACCCTCTTCGTGCATTTGTGAAGGGTACAGACGAGATCTGAGCTCTTAGAAGAGTTGCTGACGTTTTTCAATGCAGAGTCACGAATTTCAGAGAAAGAGAAACGAGGTTTTGGCGATTTTCTGAACATAAAGGGAGATTTTCAAGAGATCCATAGCTTTTCACACATTTTCTTGAGATCAAACATTATTTTGATCTTGAGAAGAGTAGTAATCTCACATTGTTGAGGTTATTCACTTCTGTTCTAAGTTTCTTCGATTGAGACAAAGAACACTACGCCTTCTTCACAATCAATTTGGATCTGTGATTCGGTGATCCACGAGCTAATGCATCTCCGGCATAGGCAAAGATCGCACGCAAGCAGCGACCGATAAACAATATCTGCACGTGTTTCTA